TCATTTGTGTGCCTACATTTCTCGGCTATATCGTAAATGAGGGCCTCCATACCTGAGTGTATTCTGAGTTTAAATATAGGTTGAATGAATGAATCAGTAATGGATGCCTAGCGAGTTAAGTGTCTAGTGTGGCTAACGATACAATCAAGCTAAGTGATTAGTCTCTGGATCGATAGGAGGTTCCAAAAATCACGTTCACGTTGAAGAACAATAACCAGAGCAATAGATGATATCTAATTAGGAGGGCAGAGGGGTCAGAGGTTCTTCTAAGATGGTATTCCTGAAAGGCTTAAAGCTTGTGGCTTTGCTTGGAGCTAAATGCTAACATATCTGGAAGTTGTTAGGTTGGTGGAAAATGTAGGTTTGCAGGTATTTATTCAGAAATCAAAGTAAGAAAAAAAAACAAGTCCATCTCAAGTTTGCCACAGATCTCATTTGAATATGAAAACATGATATTGCTGCACAGTGGTTAAGGTGGTTAGCATCGTCGCCAGATGGTCGCCGGTTCGCGTCCCGGTGAGGACACCCGGGATCTTTCTGCGTGGAGTCTCCATGTTCTCCCCGTGCAGCGTGGGTTCTCTCCGGGTTCTCCGGCTTCCTCCCACAAGGTCCAAGAACATGCTGAGGTTAACTGGTGATTCTAAATTGTCCGTAGGTGTGAATGTGAGTGTGCTTGGTTGTCTGTCTCTAAGTGTAGCCCTGTGATAGACTGGTTACCTGTCCAGGTGAACCTGCCTTCACCCTGAGTCAGCTGGGATAGACTCCAGCCCCCCAGAACCGTAGTGATTAAGTGGTGTATAGATGATGGATGGATGGATCGAAAAGGACAAATTGAACTTCTGACCTGATGATGGCAGTACAAGGAAAAGTTGGGGACTGACTCTTTTATCACAAAGGGAACAAGAACATCTGCACCAACAACAGTTGTTGAGACACTAACACATAAATATCTGCCTCCTGGAGAAGTCAGAGAACCACCAGAGCCGGTGTATTAGTCCGTGGGGACCATGAAACAACATTTCATATTGCTGAGGTATTTCAGTCTAGACAAACACGCCAATATTGGCCTCAGTATGACTCGGCTTTTTTGTGCATGTGGAGGCCAAATCCTGAATTCCAGGCAGGTTATCACTGAGTCAGGTGACCGACAACACATCAAGGCCTTAATATCACATTTAAATAAAAAGGGAACAATTCATTATCATTCCGACCAGAGATAAAGCTGCTTTTGGTTTCTGCCTGTGGCGCCGGAGCTGTTTGGTTTTCCCAGAGAGCAGCAGCCATCGTGCGCTTCTACTGATTCTGTTGCTGCCGAGAACAAATTTAATTTCATACTTTGTGGTTCTGTGTACAATAACCAGAGGAGTCCACTCATGCAGAACCCAGACTTGTTTTGTTTGGGCTTTTGGTCTCATGGTGTCCTTTTGGATGTGATTAATTGTTCTCTGTGAACTATTTCAAGCTCGTCTTCATTCGTTCTGTTGACTTAGTAAATGCTGTCCGAGTTATTTTGCTTTACGAGGTGTTAAAATCATTCACGGCACCTTTAAATACAGTTTAAGATGCACAGAAATGTGAACGTGTTGCATCATTTTACAAAAATGAAAGAGAAACATAAAAGGAGATGAAGAGGCTGCAATCATCATCATCATCATCATCACCAGCCTGCAGATTATCACTTCATTTATCATCGCCTGACAGGATGTTTCCCAAAAGAACAAAACATCCACCACAGACTGTTTTCATCTGTCTGATAATGAAACCTCACCGCGCGGCTGATGGTTTATTTTCCGTCTCGCCGTGGCGTGTTCTCGTATTTGATCCCGTTAAATTCCTTTAATGTGTTCAAATTAATAATTCACTGCATGTTGTCTTTGTTTGGTTTAAATGAAGACTTGTATGTTGTTGTGCTGATCAGAGGGAGGTGAGACTAAATGATGAAACTACGCTGCCACCAGCTGGCGGACAGCAGCAGCAGCAACACACATGCAGCATAAAATCATCATCTGGATTCACTGAAGTAAACTATCAGACAATATTTACCTTTAAACGTACAGTACTGTTCCCAGTACTCACATAGCTAGTCATGTGCATATTTAAACACACTAAGTGCAGTACCTGGAGTGCACATTTTTAAGGTTTTCGCACTTATATTTTCATTTTCTGCTGTTCATAATCACACTTCACTACATTTCACAGCTAAAAAGTCACTTTCTACCTGCTTTGGCAGCAGTTAATTACTGAAATTTAAGATTTTTTGTACAAAGTAAGTAATCAGGACATGAAATCAATGCATTGTTGTCCATAAACTAGTCTAGATAAATAGTAGAATTAGGTCCACTTTGCATAACTACAACATTTAATGCAACGTACATCAAATATTTAATGAGCCAACAGCTTAATTTATACAACTACTACTTTAGCACTGCTGTTCTTCATACTTCAAGTACAAATTGTTGAAAATATCCAAACAGATTAGACAAATTTTTGGAGTGAACTCGTGATGGAGCTGCCAGCTGTTAGTCTGACTTTATTAATCCTAAGAGGGAAATCCAGTCGTTACAGCAGCATGAATATTCAACAAAGGAGGTAAATCAAGCAAGAAGACAACACAGAACATCAGCCACAGAAACAGAAAGGTTTAACTGACCAGTCCTGTGTGTTTATATAATACTAAACTGATTTAATGGTTCCTGCTGTGGCGCTTTAATGAGCTCTGTGCTGTTTGGCTGCTGCAGCGCCCCCGTGTGGTGATGGAGGAACGACATGATGGAACTGAATCTGTCTCAGCACATGGATGCTTCAAGTACATCCTGCTCAGAATATTCAGAATATATCATGTATAGTAGTAAATACATTTTAAATTGAAGGATTTTCACTTGTAATGCAGTATTTTTATATTAAAATGTCATAACCTTTTCTTAGTAACCTGAATACTTCCATTAATGTAGCTGTGAAGTGAAGCAAAGCCATGTGAGCCTCTATACTGTCTCCCATTAAGGAGCTAAATGTCTCTATTATATATGGTCACACAACAAATACTGAGAAAGATCCGGTTTAATAATCCATGTATATTATCATTTTATTCACAGAAATAATGTGCTCAGCTCCACTCTGCGGTCTATGGGCGGAACCAAACGCAGAGGAACAGGTGAACTGCTCAAGTCAATGTAACAGGGTTGTACCAGTAAGTGGAAGTCCTACCTTCAAAATAAAAGCAGCAGATTATTGACTCACTACACCGACAATGGTGAGTTTTTTGTTTGTTTGTTTTAATGCTGTAAGGATTGATTAATAATGCACCTTTTTGGAACAAAGGGGTGAAAGTGCATCCATTATGTGAGTTCATGTTTTGTTCTTTGAAGGTCTCGTGTCAGGTTTATTGGTTCTTATTTGTACTTTTTGACCACTTTATTTACAATAATTGGATTTAAATATATCTTGAGTTTTGTTTCTACTCGCTTGTAATTTGTCTGACTGTTTTGAATGCTTATAGTTGTACAGGTGACTATTACTCCACTTTACAGTCGGGTTATGGTTTCCACGTGCAAGTCTTTTTTTTTTTCACATTTCACGTTTATATAGATGTGATGCAACTTTCAGGATTTGGATTCTGCAAAATTGCAAAAAAAATAGAAATTTAAAAATTAACAATTAATATGTTGGCTAGAAATACAAACAAACAAAAACATTCATAATAATGTAATAATAAAAAGCAAGATGATGCTCCACGGTACGGTTTTTCTTTTTTTTCAAAAGTGACCTTTGACCCCGGGTGGATCTAGTTTTGCACTGATTGACCTCAAAATCCAGTCATTCCCAGGAGAAGCCATTTCTTGGTCACCTGTAAAATATCAACTCGTCAGACCTTAGCACTTGAGCTAGAGACTGTTCACACACACACACACACACACACACACACACACCCTCTGGTCAGGGACAACTACAATAATACAGTACATAATGCCCACATCAAAAATCTGCATTTTTACGAAGGGTAGTTAATTCTTTTACAATGTTTGACCATTAAATTACACTTTTTTCCCCCACTGTATTTAAATCAGCAAAACTATTGTTATTTTATAGGTATTTGTCTTATTTATTAGAAAAACATTACTGATGTTATGGATTGAAAAGGGCATAGAAAGTCACTTTAAAAAAAAAAAAAGCCATTTTACCAATTTTCCCTGTTTTGTTAAACCACAGATAATAAAGAGTGGAATTATAGAACAAAAAGTAATATTTACATGTTAAGTGTTTAAAAAATATGAACAAATACTAAAAATATAATTTCATATGTTAATGTCAAAAATCAGTATTTTTTTCAAACAGTAATTCGTTTTTTTTATGATGTGTGACCTCAAAATTGCAGTGCTTTTATTTTATTTAAATTGCCAGATATTCTTTTTTCTTTTTCTTTTTTTTTACTGTTGCTGGAGTTCTGGTATTCCTGAATGTTTGTTTTCTGGCGCTCATGCTGCCAAATTTATTAATTTTTTTAAACAGTGTGGTGCAATTATCAGCTCTTATTGTGTCTTGATTTTGACAACTTTATTATTATTATTATTATTCTTTTGAGTCTACTGCTAGTTTTGAGGAACTTATTAACAATTTTTCTAAACAATAGACCCGAAATTTAATTTTTTTTTTTTTTAAATCTCACATTTACTTCTAAGTCAATATATTTATGTAGTTTCCACAACATCCATATGAGCTGTCATTTTATTTCCCTGCTGTTTTAGACACACCGGCTGCAACTTTTATGCTGAAAATCCAAAGCGGAAACGCGTCCTGAGCGCGGCCTCCTTCATCAGTGCGTCTGTGCGGTGAGGAGCGCACACCGGTGCCGGCTGCAGGCTGGAAGGACGCCGCCGCCGCCTCGAGCCTCCATCCCGGTTTGTTCCGCTCCTGTTAGTCGTGTTTTTAAAAAATAAAATAAAAAATAAAAAAATGGGAGGAAGATCCAGCGAGTGATTTTCCCGCTGAAGATGCTGACAGACATGATCGTGGAGGAGGAATTTGAGATCAAGGAGGAGGAACCGTGGTACGACAAGCAAGACCTTGAACATGGTACAAGCTTCCTTTCAGTCTTTGTGTCTGAGCAGATCGTGTTTAGGCTTAATTACTGACAGTCAGGCTTATTACAGCTTAATTACAATATTTAAATTCAGACATATCACATCACACAGTTAAACCTGCAGCAGGTGCACAGGAGGCTCACATTGGAGGGATTTCTGTGTGATTTCCTGAACCTGTGATGTGTATTTTTTTTTATTCCAATCAGTGCAGAAGCTGTTCTGATGGAGTCAGCAGGACACTCATGTCTGCGGCAAAGCTCTGCTCTGTGATTGGCTTTTATTACACCAGAGGTCACGAGTAAAATTCCTCTTGAATGTTGTATATTTTCACACATTTCCACAATTTAAATAGACAAACGAAGGCCTGCCTGTCAATCCAGAGCTTTACCATCAGTGTGAACACATTCTAAAGATAGAGGAGGGAAGTGGGTTGTTGGGCTGCTGCCAACCAAACACAACAACCTCTCAAAGCTGCTTGTCAGCTCCAGAGAGCCTCCAATCGACTGAGCCATGAGCGCTGAGGCTCTGCTGTTTGCTTCTCCCTCTGCAGACCTGCAGCTGGCGGCCGAGCTCGGCAAGACGCTCCTGGAGAGGAACCGGGAGCTGGAGCAGGGCCTGCAGCAGATGTACTCCACCAACCAGGAGCAGCTGCAGGAGATAGAGGTGAGGAAACACCTATTTCCTGAATCTCCAGAGAGTTGCATTTAAAAAGGCCTCAAATGAAGCTGAAAGAAAAACTCTGCCTGCATGAAGAAGTGATGATCTCCTGCCACTTTTACACTTTCAGTTTGATTAATCGTTCTAATCGTGGGACATAAAAGCCGCCCGGCCTCCTCGGTTCAGCCTGTAGAGAAGCGTGTAGACTCTGGAGGCTGGAAAAAGTCCATTTTCAGGCTGAAATAGGTTTAATTTTAGAGGTGATCCTTCTAAAAGAGATTAAAGTGGATCATCAATCAGCGGTAATGCAGTAGAAGGCAGCACTGGTTGTTGGAAACAGCAGAAGGAAGGTGAGTTTAAAGGTTCATTGTAGATATTTTTAATGAGAAACTACCAAGTATCAGGTCTCTGGGCAGACTTTATTCTGAAAAGCAGGTTTTCCAGATTAAAAGCATGCGCATAAATGAAGAAAACAACATTTCTATTGTTGCTTTTTGTGTTTGTGTCCTTTCTGTTTCTTCTTGTGGACAAATTTAGATCTGGACTTCTCCCAGAAACCGGGTCAGTCTGGATCTAAATCCACCTCTTGCATGACAAACACAATTAATCTCTTAAGACCTGAGCGGGACACTTGTGACGCCACTTGTGACCTGATCGATCACCTCGTTCGCTGTCACACTCTGCTGCAGCGAAAGGCAGAACCTCGATGGAACGCATCTTTAAACGTAGAACCGATGAGTTGTATTCTTCACTGACTCCTTGTTTACGTTGAGTTCGTGTGACGTTCAGGTTCACTGCTGGAGGTTTGTGTTGACTTTTTTTCAGCAGACAGATTAGATGAGGAAAGGTTCGTTGTGTTCTCTGCGGCGGCGGCGGCTGATTAGATAAACTGTTCTCAATGAAAGTGTTACCTAAAGGAGCTGTCGGAGGCGTTTACGTGTTGGACGCTTTAGGTTTAAATAGCAAACGCATGAGAACAGCAGGCGGTTGTTTCCTCCACTGAGCATCGTTTTAATTTTAGTGAGTCTGCGGGCAGCTTGACAAACTAACTTCTCCACATACTCTATTATTTTTATCTGTTTTATAAAACTTAATTCAGAGTAATCAGAAAAAACAAGGTGACATGATTTTAGCATGTTGGTGTGATGCTACACATTTATCAAGCTGATTAAAAATCGTACAACTTTCCAGTTGTTTTTAAAAATTTTTTACTTCACCCACAAATTAGTTGTTATTTTTAATGTTAATCTTAAAATTTGGCTTTGACCCCTCTGGCTTTTCAAAG